TAGTGTACTGTTTTTTTGAGAATATTTTGTTTTTGGTGTATTTTGTTTTGTTTTTAGTGTATTTTGTTTGGAAGTCGGTTTTGTTTTTTTTTTTAATAAAAAGCCTTATTGTATTATTTACTAATATAGTCATAAACGGCATTTTTTTAAAATAAAGATCGGTAGTAGAAGTTTTTTTACAAAGTTTATGATAGCACGAAACAACTTTACTACATGACATTTTCTTTTAGTACTACTGAAACAGTGTTAAGATTTACTATTTTTTATTAGCTATGCTATCTCCTTTTTATTTTTTTATTTATTGACCGACTTCCCAAAAGAAGGAGGTACTCAATTCTTCTGTATGTTTTTTTTATGTGTGTTACGGCATAACTCCGCCGCTAGTGGACCGATTTGATAATTCTTTTTTTATCCGAAAGGTAATGCTTGCAGGTGGGTCCCATTTTTTTGTTTGATTTTTTCTATTGAATGTTGTAAATGTATTGTTTTAAGCTACTAGTGTTAGCTATTTAACTATTTTGATGTATTCTGTATTCTTGAAGATTATTAGTCTGTGCTACAAATCAATACCATTTGTCATAATTTGAAATAACGATATAAGCTTTGTAATTGTGATCCAAAACATTGTTTTAAAATATTTATGTCATGGTTTTAAAATGTAATTGTGCTTGTTATGTTAATGTCGGATGTCAAAAAATAAGGGTGTTGCATTAGTTCGACGACACGACGGCCATATTGGTAAGGTTATTCTGTGCAAGAAAACATAAGAGGTAATGAAGACTATATTTTATTAAAGCATTACATGGCTGTGACGCCCACACTAGGTTCTGATGAAACACCTAAAAATACTGTAACAACATGTTTGTTTCAATACAGCTATACAGGAACAGATAGATTACATTTTAGTTTACATAACTAACTATTTTCCCACGGTTTCGTTCGCATTGAGTTTAAAAATATAAAGCTACGAAAAAGAAAAATTTTATAGACCTGGCGAATTTAAGAATTTCTTGAAAGACGTAATTAACTATTAGTTCTTAAATTAACTTTATGAGAATTTAAACAATTCTGCTGATGAAATAACATATCTACATGCAAACTCTTCCCTACATTTGAGATTTATAGTGGATGGACTAGGTAAGATCTTTTCCTAGTGCTCAAATACGGTGTATAAAAATGAAATCGCTAGGTCCAGGTAGGCTGTTGCATCAGTCAATTGATTGAATCATTAATATACATTATTCATTTTCAAATAACGTGAAAAATTGTACAATATCAATCGTTACTTAAGTGGAATTAAATAACATCGTGATTAATTAATAATACAAACAATTGGCAGTCGAAAAAAAAAACTAGCTGTTGGCCACGACTTCGCTCGTGTGGAGTTTTAAAGTTCAAAACTTACGTTCGCCCATTTTTTCAATCTATCACCTAAAGTATTAACTTAGTAGTAATCTACGTAGTTAATAACAGAAATCTACTGATTCCAGATTACAAATTTCTAAGCCCGGTAGCTTGTCAGATGATTTACCGGTTTTCGGTTAACCTTATTGTTTGTGTTTGCGATATTTTCTAAACTATTAGCCCAATTTAAACAACGTGAAAGAAAATTTTATTCCACATTAAATTCTTCTGACAACAAACGAAGAAATAAAAGCATAGAAGTATAGACATAGAAATATATTATATGTTTAAAATCTGTGATTCAAGCTGAATCACCTAGATGACTTTGATGGATAAGTGTGACAATAACTAGTTATTGACACTCTTTACAATAAAATGTAATAAAACACTATAACAGGGACAGCTTACAAATGGAATAAAATAATACACAAGATTGTACGAAGGAATACAATGCGTTAAAGAAAGTATGACGTAGACATGGGCGTCGCCAGCTGCTGAACTAGGGGGAAGCAGGTCCAGATAAAGAGGGGTTAGCTCATCATTAAGGTGGGAACGAGTTGTAAAGTAACTTATTTTGTTTTTTTTAATACCGCCAATTTTTTATTTAATTATCCACGCGATCCTTTGTAGATTTTAGCACTTTAGTACTTTTAAGTAATTTGTTTTTGTGTACAATTTTCAACTGTCCAGTGAGAGGTAACAGTGGTAGTGCCC